TCAAGACAAATGGTTTTTTTCAAACTACGTACTCGTTGTGCGTGGTAATTTGAAAGGTTGAATCAAATTTTTAAATTGTTTCTTGTTTAGATTGATTAATAATTACTACGTGTCGTCTTCAAGTTAAGCTTAATGAAGGGATCAGGATCTCTATTTGGCACGAGCTCGAACAAACGGTTACTATAAGACTCACATCTCTTTCCGAATCACCGACAAAGATCGGTTGTCTAGCAAAAAGCAAAATAATGAAGTAAGTGTTGACGACAAGTACGACCAATTGTGGATAAACGAGTGGCAATGGCACCCAATCCATATTGCCCAATTCGCTCAATCGACTCCGCCACTCAATGAACATCTAAAACGAGTTTAGGTTGATACCCAGGCTGTTCTTGGCACCAATTTTTAAACCAAATAAACCTCAATTCTTGTCTTTGACTTTACTTTTGCTTGACTTGGCATAGGTTTCTTAACTTGAAATCCAAGCCTAGCTAGGATTGAATATGTTGAAAAAATCTGGAATAAAGTTTTTCGAAGAAATTCAGATATAAAACGATGACTTTCTTGGAACTGGATACTGGATGGACGTATTTGGCAAAAACCGCTTCTTGGTACAAGGTTTGGTGGATGCTGTTAACCAGGATTATCTTCATCTCAAGGTTATTGATCAATATATGACATTCGATCAAGCCGTGGCATATTGTGCAGACCAAAAGAGCCATTTAGTCTCAATTCACAGTCAGGAAGAGAACGATTTTGTTCGGAAACTCGGTAAGAAATCGAAATGATTCAATTCTGAAAATTCAGGATTTTCGTAGAAATTTATGCTTTATAAACCAAAAACAATCAGTAGTTATTTCAGCGAAAACTGTTCGGGAATGGGGGTTCTGGATTGGACTGAAGGTTGAATTTTTCTTATTGAAAGGCATAAATAAATAAATAGAAAGTAACGATTCTTTCGGCCATTGTCGGGAGGCTCTTTGTGAAAAAATGATTCGTTTGACTGATAGTTCTTTTATAGAAATAATGGTTTCAATTAGAAAACTAGAATGATTGTAATAACAAGAAAGGAAAATCGTTCTTTGATGAGGATCATAGTTTGAATTGAAAAACTAAAATAGTTTTAAAGAAAAAAAGAAAAAAATTTGGTTGACATACCAACAGTGAAACATAAAAATTTCTTTATTCAGAGAAATCCGAACAAAGGAAATCCTTTTGAATGGACGGATGGAAGGGCGGTGGATTTCACGAATTGGTATCTGGGACACCCGGATTCGAACACCCACGCTAGGGTGAGATTTTCAGGGTGAAATCATCAATATTTATTCCAATTTCCAATGCATAATAAATCCAAAAATATTTCGATCAATCTTAGGAGTTTTTTGTGTAAAATAACGCAAATTGTTTTATCAAAGGATTTCCATCAGAAATGAACACATTTCAGCTTGGGAGCGACCATGGGAAATGGGTGGCCTATTCTCCTACCGATCCGCATCCTTTTATCTGCAACAGGAGCTCTCAATTCTGATGAGTTCTTTATGTTCTCTTCTATTTCTGTGGATAAATACCAATAAATCCCATCTTATTCAATCTTTTAAAAACACACAACTGCACATTATCCATTTCTTTATTTCTGAATTGTTTGTTCAAGAGCTCATATTAAAGAGTTTTCCCAAAAACCCATAATTCCGCCTGAAGCTGCAAGTATTTTGCTCTCTTGTCGCTCCCGAATTGACTATTAGATAAACGTGTTGAACATCAATGGACATCGCATGAGGAGACTGACAACTCTTCGTGAAGGTCGCTCTTCTCGTCCCTCAACTCGTCAATTTGTCTTTGATTTTTGTTCTCTTTTTGCTCTCAGTGATCTATGGTCGATTCAGGGATCACTATTTACGATGCGATAAATATTTTGTTTATCCATTGATCGTTTTTCCGTTTATTGCTACGATATTTATTGTTCCAAATGCTACGCATCCAACGGGATTCCTAGCAGTTGTGGTGAATTGATAATGGTTGAGAATTGCTATGTTTTGAGCCAGTAAAAATCTAAATAGGTTTGAAAACTTGATATCAATATATCTCAAATTACATCCTCTTTTCACCCTTTCAGAAATCTATCACCTTTTTAAGAGGTCGAGGACTAAATAGGTTTCAAAAATTGATATCTAGATGTGTATGTTCTTACAATTGTTAACAATATATATGCACTCTTTCATCCTTTCAGAAAACCATCACTCTATTCTCTTCAAATCTCCAAATTGAGGTCGAACCGCTTGTTCTCGATCTCAACTTATGGCTAAAAATCCTTCAAACAGCTGCTTTTCTCACATGCGGCATTTTGACGACATTTTATGTTTGTGTGACTTATGGTCTATTATACTTGAATCGAGTTGTCGCTAAGCAACAATCGAAAAAGATTCTCTCAGCGCAAAGAACAGCTTTCACTATGTTGTTGATGCAGGTAAAAATAAGGACAGTAGCGGACAATAACTTAGCAACTTGTCTATTTTGTTCATATCTTTTTCTTATGCGTTTTTTGACATACAATCAAAAACAAAAATAAAATTTAAACTTTTTTACAACTTTTAGCTTTTTAGTTAGGAATTTTTAACAAATTTGAATGCGTTAGTAAACACCTCGATCGTGAACGGATTTTGGACACTCACCAAAAGAAACTCTTAACAAAATACACTAGCAAAAGCCTCGATAGTAAACGGATTTTAAGAATTCCTTCCATAGTTTACTTGACTGTTGGTGGCTTATTAGTGCTTTGAAAAAACCCAAAATGGTCAAAAAAAGACTATTTTGAGGCATGGTTGACCGTTTTTTGAATCCAAATTTAAACTTAGAACCGAAAAAATTCCTCCCCGAAAAGCTGAAAAATAGTATATTTTTCAATTCAGTTTTCAGAGCATTCAAATTTGTTAAAAATTCCTAACTAAAAAGCTAAAAGTTGTAAAAAAGTTTAAATTTTATTTTTGTTTTTGATTGTATGTCAAAAAACGCATAAGAAAAAGATATGAACAAAATAGACAAGTTGCTAAGTTATTGTCCGCTACTGTCCTTATTTTTACCTGCATCAACAACATAGTGAAAGCTGTTCTTTGCGCTGAGAGAATCTTTTTCGATTGTTGCTTAGCGACAACTCGATTCAAGTATAATAGACCATAAGTCACACAAACATAAAATGTCGTCAAAATGCCGCATTTGAGAAAAGCAGCTGTTTGAAGGATTTTTAACCATAAGTTGAGATCGAGAACAAGCGGTTCGACCTCAATTTCGACCCCGTTGGATGCGTAGCATTCCGAACAATAAATATCGTAGCAATAAACGGAAAAACGATCAATGGATAAACAAAATATTTATCGCATCGTAAATAGTGATCCCTGAATCGACCATAGATCACCGCATCAAAGCGATATTTGAAACAGAGAATGACAGCTCGAGCCGTGTTGAAAGCCGCGAAATAGCAACCAATCTAGAAAAGTGGTCATTGAGAAGTGAATAGCAAACTTGCCAATTAAAATATGCAATGGAATTTTCGTAGTGGCATAATTCAAGAGAGTTATTGAGAGGAAATAGATCTGCGGATCACCGTTTTTATGGAAAACATAGGGTGTGTAGAATATTATGAAAGTGAAGCTGAAGATACCGCTGGCAATCTGAAAATGGAAGAGCTTTAGATGGCTTGCACAATTTCGACTGTAGTTTGCCGTTGACGTGGGTCACTGTAGGTTTGCTCTGAGTTACTGTAACATTAACATTGTAACATTGTAGCATTTATAGCATTGTACTATTGTAGATCTCTATAGTTTTGCACTAATGTAGGTTTGTTTTGCTACTGACTAGACACGTGCATTTCCCGGTCTGATCGTCAATAGGTATACAAATGAAAATTGCCATATACTGCTAAAGATTACTGTAGCTTGTGCCACTGTGGGTTATAGACATGGGCATTTTCGTCCCGGGGGACAGATTTCCACAAAATAGAAACCGAGGTTCCGCGACGCTCCAAATTCCGTGCTCATTTTCTCGCGTTTCCGTGAACCGATTTGGCTGAAATTTTAAAGGCAAGCTGAAGTAGGCTATATTTATCTGCTGTCAAAATTTCAGCCAAATTGGTCCACTGAAACGCGAGAAAATCTCAGCGGAATTTGGAGCGTCACGGAACTTCGGTTTCTATTTTGTGCGAATCTGTCCCGCGGGACGAAAATCCCCTTGTCTAGTGGGTTACTGTATCTTTCAGCTGCTTTAGGTTACTGTAGCTTTGTTTGCTGTAGATACAACCAAGCTTATTCACGTTCTCTCAAAAACCTCACCAAACTATCGATTATGTGAATCCGATATCCAACCATTTTCTTTGGAGTACTTCGAAATGCGATAAAAATTACAAATAATATTGACATAATGGTTAAAATAAGAAAAATTATTGACAATTCAATTCGATATGGAAGGAGATCGATACCAACAAAATATTTCGCCGAAAACACTTCCATTGAAATGAACTGTAAACAAGAATCGAGAAGATCTCACGGTAATAACAGGTGTAATAACAGGGGTAATTGTTGGCCAAATTGTGTTCTGCGCTAGTCACTCATTATCTAAACACTTTTTTTCACTTTAACTATTTTCTAGTAATTCTTCTTGATCCCTGAATTTAAAAGTCAAGTTTAAAAGTTATCAAAAGAATGTTGTGAAACACTTTCATTGTAAACAAACAAGCATTCAAGTCCTTTACCATGCTGAAAAACAACTTAATTGTTTCGCAAGGAAATTCACTTTAGCGCACGCAAAATTCCACTAATTTTCACGCAAGAATATTCCCGCCAAAAGCCATTTCTCAAAAATGAAAGAAAATGGGAAGTAAAGAATTGATAAGGACATTGCATTTGGACTTTTATTGCCTCAACAACTTCTGGCTTCAAGCTAACAAGAAATTTTTCATTGATTTAAATTCCGTCAAAAATATTGCCACTCCCATTCTGTCAACATTTGCAACGATGGGTAGTGAGCAGGTGAATGCTTTGAATTTTGTTTAAATGTTTAAATCCTTGGTCATAAAACCTTGTTATTCTTGTTAGCATTCTGTTAGTGAACCTGGTTTATTTTGAAAAACTCGAGGTTATTTTTTAATACCTGCACTAACTACAGAATTTTCAGTCAGCTCTGACGCAACGAGAAACTCCAAACATAATATTATCAACTCCAATTTTTCCAAAAACGACGCCAGCCAGAAATCTAAATAGAAGCCTCTTTTTTAACAAATTCGAGGGTCAACGCATGGTTTGTCCAAGTTGCACAGAACCAGATGGGGATTCCTTGCTGGCACATCTACGAATTTGCGATGAACACTTTCTAGTGAGATAAACTGTCATTTTTTTAATCGATAATTGTGTTCAGATGAGACATGGAAGAGGCTATCACCAAATTTCCGCCCAAGAGCTACATCGAGCGGTAAAGTAAACGAAAATCATTAAAAACTAGCATAATTTCACAGATTCTAAAGGAAGCTCTCTGTTCTCATTGCATCGTTGAGCATTCCAATTGCGGACAAAAGACTAATCTCTTAACGTTGGCTGTATGGAAAATTTTGAAATTATTGGACTCACAACTTTTCAGAAACTACACGAATCCTTATTAATGCCAATGAAGTGTACAGCAATCTTGAACAGAATGGATTACGAGACGGGAAGTGTTATTGCTCGTGCTACGTACGAGGTTGTTGCATAATCTCGTAATCTAGTGACTAATAACTGCAATTACTGGTCAACGGGTTAATAGTATCAGATTTTATAGTTTATAGCTTATAATAGTATCACATTCAATAGAATTTATCTACACTTGCACACCGCTCTTTATAGCGACTGGTTGAGCAGTTGAAATGGGTGGTAGACACGGATTTGGAATCGCGTGATGTTGATCGACATTTTGATGAGCTTGGACGATCTTTCAACAAACTCGAGGCGTCTTTGAAACGTTTTGAGGAAGCGAAAACCCAAATGGTTAACGAGGTTGCACTTTTTGCCAAAAATTCAATAAATGCCAATTCAGATGACCGAAATCCAAATGACGACATTTTACGACGATATTTTGACTTTCAAAAAATAATAAAAACCATAAAAATGTCATAACGAGAATAAATTTGATACAAACATTACACTTTTTATTGATCTTTGTAATTGAAATTTCTTTATCGTCGAGGAGCCAACCCGACCCGTCCATGTGCATAATCGTAAACCGAATAGAATTGTCGAAGGAAGGCGCCACCGAGAATCCATTGTGCATTCAAACCGGCAGCAATCGATATCTCATCGGAAGCAAAGATCAGTAAGCTGCATGAAGAATCCTAAGATGACCAGTTAGCTGCTAGATTTTCCAGAGTTTCTCAACAATACCAGTCAATATTTTTAAAAAATGAAAGTCATTCAAGCACCTTAACGATAGCGACTAGTCGGGCTTAACATTTTGAGGGCTCAAACTCATCTAATTCTCTTCTAAAACGCAAAAAGAGTAACCAAGTTACATACCACATAATAGCTGCCAGGTAAAGAAAATGTATGTCCATTCAGAGTGAAGATCAACGTCGGGCAGCTACACTTGCCACATGCGGCTTGAATCTGAAAAGGGGTTTAGAGATTAGAAGACTATCACAAGGCATTCACTGTAGAAACTATTAGGTTGGTGCATAAGTCTTTACAATTTTTTTCAAAAAGTTGTTTAAAAATAATACTGTCACCAACAAAATTTCTATTTGAACTATTGAAAAGCTTGATTGTTTCCTTGCAAAATGGCTTTTGCAATCGGGAAATTCTTGCAAGTCGTTATTTTTGTGGATTTTCAAAGGCGTAAAGGCCAGTATCTAAAACTGCTATGATGCTGAAGGCACAATTTGGACACTTTCCTCAATTTAAACCTATTTTTGTGCCAAATTAAAAAATTTAGAGCTCATTTGATTACAAAAGCCTGTAAAAAACACCTTGTTGCTCACCTTGTTTACAAGCGAACCTGGCAAGTAAACTCCAGTGGTCCCAGTATCAAAAAGGATTGCATTCAGCCCCGATTGTGTCCATTCCTATAGACAAGTTTGAATTTAGCTTATGGACATCTAATAAAACCGTTTTTCCTCCCCATTGCACTCGACTTAAAGCCACAGTCCAATAATAACTCGATTTGTCGACGCTGAGGAAACGAAGTGGGGCCTAAATATTAAAGATGTTTGTGCAGAAAAGTCGTTCTTTTCTGTGAAATCTTATTTAATGTTTTGAATTGAATGTCTGATCTTCTTGTCCCGCCTCTGAAAGATTGCTTTTAAGATAAAGGGACGGATAAAAGGGACGGAGCCCACTTTACATTAGCTCATTCCTTTCCGTCTATTCTTTCCACATTCCTTTTGTATTGCCTTTCGTATTGCTATGAAACACTGAACCAACGATTGATTCTATTTTATTATATTTTCTCGCTAGATTAGTATTGTGCTAGATTCTGAATAAATATCTGATAATCATCGCCCCTATCGGTATTCTCCCACACACTGCACATTTGGTGCGCAGCCCAACTACGAAACCCGGTGAGACCCGTGAGTACGTGAAGTTCTGTGGAGCCACACGAAGTGGTGACCCTGATTCTGCACTGCTCGGCGTGGATCACGTGGGCCAACTGGAACTACTCGATAGACGTCCGATCAAGGTGAGCCCCCAATCCATTTTTGAGCCAACGAGTAGCCACGAAGAGAGTGTGACGAGAGAGAAAACCGACGTAAAGAAAGGGAACCGTCGAGAAGAGAGAGCCGAGTGTGAGAGAGTGCCTCGACGGAGAAAAGACGAGCGAGAAAAAGCGAGGGTACACGAGCGGAAGAGAGAAAGCCGACGTCGTGTGAGTGAATCGCCTTCAAGCAAGCAAAGAAGGGATCACTCGAGAGAGACCACGCGAAGAGTGGGAGCACCGAGAGAGCGTGCCCATCAACGTGAGAGCAGAGAAGTGCATACGGAAAGAGCCCCACAAGCAAGCGTCGCTGTCCCGACGAGAGGAAGCGGCCAAAGACAAAAGCGAGAGCGGGGAAGAAAGCGTCGCGAGTGGAGAGAGCGACAGCTCATTCTTTTGTAAAGAGCTCTTCGGAGAGAGGGTCACAACGCGACCGCCGAGAGCATCACAAGCCACCGTATAACAAGCAGCCCGACACTGCACAATTCAAAATGAGCTCACATATCAAAGGTCGGTACACCAAAACAATCAACCAATTCAAGGAGTTGAACACAGCAATCAATGGAGAAGATGAGAGTACTAAAAAATTGCTTGAATCGTACCTCTCCGCAAACGTCAAAAAGGGTGTTGAGTTTCTACAAGAAAAGGTGTCGGAAATCGAAAGTTATCTGCGGAAATTCAACGAATGCGAGGACAGATGGTTTGCCCTCATGGCGACGCTGAATGCGGAAGAAAAAACGGCGGAGAACGACGTGATGAAGAAGTACATGGAGACTGAGGAGGGCCCGGAATACGCCCGAGACCACGCTCACATGCTCATTACTCAGTTCAAAAGATTGATCGCTTCTGGCGAACGGAAACTTGTGGATATCGAGAACAAAAAAGCCGCAGGGTCAACGTCGACAACAATGGTCACCCCGCGGACGCCCACAATTCCCACAGCGAGTGTCACGGCATCCGCTACCACATCACCGGTCCAGCATTTTAAAGTAGACGAAATGCCACTGCCGAACCTCGAGGAAAGTACAGACGGTTCTTTCAAGCGTTCGATCGCACCGTAGACTGTCAACCGTGGGACGACGATGTCAAGCTCACCTACATGATGCCACACTTGAAGGGAGAAGCCGCGAAAGCAGTGGCTGGCTTCGACCTGACGAAAGAGAACTACAAACTTGTGCGAGAGAGGTTGAGAGCCCGATTTGGGGATGAAACAAGGCTGAAGAATGCTCTCCTCCAAAAGATTCTGAGTCTGCAGAAATCGGGAGAGGGCTACAGAGAAACGGTCGCGTTTGTCGACGAGATGGAAGCACTGGTGCAGCAAGCGGATAACCTCCAAATGACGTCCAATATCGATGCTCTTCTGTGAATTTGCCCCGAAGCTTGCGAATCTTTGCAGAGATCAGTGGCTTATGAGCAGGACGTTGACCAAACAATCCAAATCCGCGTAAACGACGTTGTACTGTCTTTGAACTAATTTCCTTTTTGACTTTGTCAGGCAAATCCGCGTAAATCTCGACCGATGACTTCTTTGGATCAGCCTTTGAAAGAGTTTTCATCTGCAGGAATTATTTTATGGAATGGCCGAGCCAAGAGTTCTGATCTAAACCATATTGAACATCTATAGGAAGTTCTGGAGAAAGCCTGTCAGGCGTTCAGAGCCATAATCTTAATGAAAAATTCGAGCTTTTGGCTAAGAAGTGGATGGAAATTCAAAAAACAACCATCGACAACTTGGTCGCTTCGATGAGCGCTCGGTGCCAGACTATTATTGATTCTAAAGGATCTTCCACCAAGTATTGAATTGATTTATTTGTTTTTGTTTTAATTTAGAAGTTTAATGGTTTGTTACGTTATTATTAAGAATTGTTTTTAAAAGTTTCCAAATTTATGTCCTCTGGGTTTATAGATAAATGCATTAAAAATAATAATTTTCAAAAAGTTCAGCAGTTCTGTCTATGGATTATCACGTGCTTTTTAGGTCTACATATTTCCGCTAGTAAACATACCGAATCAGATTTTACTAAGAAATTTTTTTTAGAAAAAACAAAAGTTTCCAAAATTATGTCCGCTACTGTATTTACTTCAACAAAGTTTTCTTGTGTACTTTTTGAGGAGCTTCATTTTCTTTTGCCTTTTCTGGTGATTCTTCACGTCGAGCACGTTTTGGCGTTAGCGATCTAAATCACTAATACTGAATGCAACCCAGGTTAAACTAACCGTTTCAGGACTGGCATGACGCTTTGGTGGTCGAGATCTAAATAATTTTCATGAAAAAAGCAGCAAAGCTCTATTACCGTCTTCGCCTTTCTGGATAAGCTTTACGTTTAGGAGATGGTGACCTAAATCAGCTGTAAACAAAGACAATTTTTAAACCTAACCGTCTTCGCCTTTTCGGTGAGCGGTCAACACCTCTGTGTCTTTCTGGTGAACGTTCTTGTTTCATCATCATTTCATTGTTAAATGTTTCATTGCCAGAAAACTGAGTACTGATAAGTGCCTCACACAACAGCAACAACATTTCCTTTTAATTCACATGTAAACTTTCCAGCTTATAGGTATTATAGAGATAAAGACAATCATGTAAACCGATAATTGAGAGCCTGAGTCGGATTTTCTGTAAATTGAAGCCATAATTGAACAACTCCAGTCATCAGAATTTTTGCGTTCTTGACCCTGAAGTAATATGTTAATAAGATCAGATTGATTGAATTCAGATTGATTAGATCTTGGGCTAAATCCAGTTTTAAAAGTAACAAATTTAATGACAGTACTTCAACCTCTTGGTTTTCACGTTCGACCAATCGTTGGAATGACGTGGAAGCCCATGCACAACACGGCAATTTGGCCATCGATTCACAATTCTTTCACCTGAAATTGATCATTCAATTAGAAAACTTATTTTATCAAAACCCTACTAATAATAAAAGTTAGATATCCAAATTACTGGAAAAATCATTACTTTCTATTTATTTATGTCTTTCAATAAGAAAAATTCAACCTTTTAGTCCGATCCAGAAATCCAAATTCGAATAAACATTTTTCGCTGAAATAAATATCAGTTGTTCTTGGTTTATAAACATAAATTTCTACGAAAGTCATGAATTTTCGGAATTCAATCATTTCGATTTCTTACCGAGTTCCCAAACAAAATCGTTTTCTTAGTTAGTATAAAATTAGTGTAGATAAATTTGAAAAACAGAGTGTTGCAAGACTTTTGCACCCAGTTTTTAGTGTATTTTTTAGTAGTTTTTTCCTTTACTTTTTCGTTTTACGCTGAACTTCAAATTTAATTTTGCAAATAAAGTGTACATGTATTATTCTAAATAAAAAAAGTCCTGCGAACAGGTGGCATTTTCTATAAAAATTTCATCGATTCTTTCGAAAAAGTGATGTTGCAAGGCTTTTGCTCGGTATTGTAAAATAAACTACAAACGGAATAGAATAGAATATAAGAGCAAATGAGAAAATTGCTTTTCTTTTCGAATCCTTTTCTTCCAAAAATTATTCCGTAAAACCGTTCTTTTTGTTTACGAGGACTCCTTCCCGCGTCAATCTTGCTCTTTTTAACATTTTATCTACTCAAATTCGTTTTTAATTTTGTTTTCAGAGAATGTCTGTTCAACCAGTCAACCCAAAGCCGTTCCTCAATGGACTCGCCGGAAAGCCAGTTGTGTGCAGATTGTAGTGGGGAATGGAATGTCGAGGCGTCCTCATCTCGGTCGAAGGCTACATGAATGTCCAGGTGGGGTTGTCTTTGTGTAAAGTTTTTATGGCATAGGTGCAACAACATCCTCTACATCGGAGGCGCCGAAGACTCGGAAGGTTGATTGCCTAGTTTTCATTAATTATTATTCAAATTAGATTTCTATCAATTTCTATCATTTCAGATTTCCATCAAAGAATTATCAGTCCAAGGGATCATTTTTTCACAGAGAGCCTTCCGAACATGGCTGAAAATTCTTGAAAATTCATTACTTTCTATTTATTTATTTATGCCTTTCAATAAGAAAAATTCAACCTTCATTCCGATCCAGAACACAACACTCGAAGCAAGAGTTTTCGCTGGAATAAATATCGATTGTTCTTGGTTTATAAAGCATAAATTTCATGAATCATGAATTTTCAGAATTGAATCCTTTCGATTTCTTACCGAGTTTCCGAACAAAATCGTTCTCTTCCGTACTGTGAATTGAGACTAAATGGATCTTTCGACTCGCACAATATGCCTCGGCTTCATCAAATGACATTCCTTGTTCTATCACCTTGAGCTGAAGATAGTCCTGGCCCACAACCTCCACCAAACCTTGTACCAAGAAGCGGTTTTTTCCAAATACGACCATCCATCCAGATCCAAGAAAGTCATCATTCGATTTCTGAATTTCTTCGAATAACTTCACTCCATCCCTTTTAGAAAAATACTCATGCTTTTCCTTAAAAAAAACGCATAAATCTGCCTGCAACTTCACCATTTCGGCCGTTTTGTTTTCCCTTTCATTGTTTAGAGAGGAATTTTTTGGATTGAGTGGAATGGGTGTTTTTGGAATGAAGAAACTATTTTCTCAAGTCTCAGTCGACAAGTGATATAAAATCAACTCACATTTGGGTTTCAAAGCCAGAGATTTTGCTTTGCATCGCGTTGATTTTCCCGTCGAGATCTCCAATCTTGACTTTTCCGTCTCTCACTTCCGTATTTGGGTCGCTTCTAAAAAAATTCCCCTTTTTATCGATATTTTATGTTGAGCCTGTCTAAAAGGAAATTACGAAATCAGTACAATTGTGCTTTGAGATCGTCGTTCTTCCTTTTCGAATTTCCGAATTTCCTTTCCAGTTCTCGATTTCTCTCCCTTTCGTCAATCAAATCAGCCTTCAACTTCGTGATTTTCAAATTCGCCTCGATTTGAGCGATTTTTGCTGTCCATCGACTCATCTCGACATCTTTGTCCTTTTTCATTCCTTGCCTGAACGTTTCGATTAAATTAAAGGCTGTTTTTGTTAAAAGCAAAGATTTGGCGAAAAACCCACAAATCGGCTTCGAGTTAGGCGATTTTCTTCAACGAGATGGCCGGTTCTTCTATGCGTTTGACACTCTTTTCAGACAATTCCTCAGTCATTTCGGTCATTTCTGGAGATTTGGAAAAAGAAGAGATGCCCTGAAGACATCGAGGAGGAAGATTCGAGCGATTGTCCATTTCGGTTGCTAGACGATTGGATGCCCACAAAATGACTGAATTTCCTCGAAGAACAAGTGAAAATTAAAGGAAACAGCTACTAAAGAGGCATAATTGATGAGAGAAGACAAAATCAAACAAGAGATTTGTTGCCAAGCAAAATTGGGATTTCTTATTAAAACGAAAACTGCTACAAAACAACAATGATTTGAGGCAAGAAATAG